AACACACACACACACACACACACACACACACACACACACACACACACACACACACACACACACACAGTGATGTATGGGGTGCAGTGCAGGTGGTCATGCACTGCAGGTCACATAAGGCCTCATGATGCTGAGCAGTGGTTTAGCAGATAAACATACTGCACTGTGGGTGTTTGTGTGTGTGTGTGGAAACTGGATTATATTATTGTGTGTGTATGTGTTTGTGTGTGTATGCAGGGGTCTTGGGGGTTTTGTAGTATAAGCCTGAATGCAGCTGCATGCACTCATCAGCACAAACTCACAGTTGCAGAACTGAAATTTGCATTAGAAGTTGCTCAGTCATTAGCAAGATGACCAAGAAACCTCGCATCTTCCTATTTAAAAAAAAAAAAGAAAGAAAAAAAAAGAAAGAAAGAGGAAAAAACCTCCACCTACAGGAAAAAAGTTTCCCCTCAGTTCCTGCTTTAACACTCTAATTAATTCACATCTGAACGAAAATTAATGAGCCGACAACAAACTTGATTCCTGTATACTTCGTAGCTTTGGGGACATAGCAGGTTTCTACAGGCAAACCGCTGTTATGTAATTTTACTGCAGAGCCCTTGGCTGGAGGCCATCTCTCCTCTGCATCCATCCATCCTCCGCCTCCTTCTTCTTTTTCTTCACCTTCTTTCTCCATGTTCCTCAACTCTCATCCTTCTATCCTGCTGCTGCATTTACACCAACTGTCCTCTGCTCATTTGAATTCTCTACGTGGTCTCTTAACATTTAAAGGTCTAATCTTTTTAGATATATGTGTTTATCATTTATACGTTTTGGTGGTATATACGCTCACATTAGGCATTATGAATGTTATAACCTCTAGTAACACAGGTAAGGTTCAGAGACTTTAAGAAATTACATAATACCTCATACTGCTCGCAGTATAAATCCAGTATGAACTAAACTATCACTTGTTAAACTGAAACAGAAATGTAGAACTTTTTATTACCATGTTGTATACACTGTTACCAAAAATGGTTAAATAGCTAGGAAAAACACGCCCTATCAATGGTCTGCTGCACTTTTTCAAAGTCTTGAACAAAATTCTGTTGCAGATACAAATTTTGGCGACCATTATCTTGCGTTCAGGTGACGTACGCTGAACATGCAACTTGAAACGGACACAAATGGAGAACGTAACACTGCACATTGGCCGAACCTGATAAAGAGGTGATGGGATTCATACAGACATCTGAAAAGGTCTTTATCAACAGGAAAAACCTGCACAACTTATTAAAATACATTTACACACCCAAAATTTATGCCTTCCTTCACATTTTCCGAAGCTGTCAGGCAGGTCAGATTGAAGTCTTTTGCAGGGCCGAATTTGGCCACTGTGCCCTATGTTTGACATCCATGTACTAGAGGATTGTTGCATTGCTTGGACCAGCCTAAAGTAACAGATTTACATTAATGCAGCGCTTTAGTGTAATTAACAGTAATTAATTAAGTCGTGTTATCTGAAACCAAAGTCTGTGATACTTTTCAAAAGTCTTAATTCAGTATTTAGAGGTGAGTGAAACGAAATTCTGTCACAAATACAAATTTTGGTGAATAAATGATAATCACTGCATGTATGACCATGCTTGTGAAAAGTTTAGTTCAGATTGGACGACCCGTTAACGAGGAGATAGGGTACATACAGTAATGTATACATTATGCTACTAAGCCAGCAAATAACCAAAATATATACATTTCTTTTTTTTCCATTTTTAATTATCCCACATGTCTGGACTTCACAGTGTAGACTCCAATGTCCTCATCCTTTGCCACTCCTCTGATTAAAATGAAAAAAACTAGGACTCATCTAAGTGACTGTAAACTTCAGCCAACATTTCTTATTCAATCCCCCGCCAAGGCCTTCAGGTCAGTTACCAGGAACATGTTTTTAAGAAGCATCTTCCAGAGTGTCTACACAAGATCCTTCTTAAAAACCCACATTTTGACATTTCTTGTAGGAAGTGATAAGCCCAGAAAATATTGACTTGTATTCATTGTGATTACAGATTAAGGTTTATCATTCTTATTATTCACCCTCTAAAGCTCTAAAGTATAGATCCTCTGAATGATCTATTCAAAGGTTTTGGACAAGTCTGAACAATAATTAGGAAGTCAAACTTGGTGCATCTTACAGCAGATAAATGACATCACGCTCATAGGATATACGATATCTAGATCACTGATTGTCCTCACCCTTTCCTCTGTGTTGTGGTCATCTTTGGCTGGAGTCGGTCCGTCAGGTTCCTCCTGGCTGTGAGGGAGGTGTTTTTTCAGGGTGGGCTCCTGGTTCAGAGTGGTGTATCCCACATGCTCGTAGATAGGGTTTATGGTCATCTTAGCGATGTACTCTGCTGCCTGAGAAGAGAATTAAATCCTTGGCCCCGTTTTTAGATTTATAGACTTCTTCCAACTTATGTTTAGGTAGTCTATGGGAAGTTCAGTGTTTCTGTGTCCCCTAAAACCTTACATTTTTACTGTTAATTTTTCTTTAGCTGGCCCACAACTATAACTACACTCAACAAAAATATAAACGCAACACCTTTGTTACTGCTCCCATTCCCCATGGGATGGACGTAGAGACCTAAAATTCATTCCAGATACACAATATAACCATCCCTCCCAAACAGTGGTCACAAATCAGTCCAAATGTGTGGTAGTGGGCACATCTGCTATATTGAGATAATCCATCCCACCTCACAGGTGTGCCACATCAGGATGCTGATCTGACATCATGAGTAGTGCACAGGTGTACCTCAGACTGCCCACAACAAAAGGCCACCCTGGAATGTGCAGTTTTTTGCGCTATTGGGGGTCTGGGGACCCAGAACCGGTCAGTATCTGGTGTGACCACCATTTGCCTCATGCAGTGCAACACATCGTCGCATGGAGTCTATCAGATTGTCAATTGTGGCCTGTGGAATGTTGGTCCACTCCACTTCAATGGCTGTGCGAGGTTGTTGGATATTCGTGGGAACTGGTACACGCTGTCGTATACGCCGGTCAAGCACATCCCGAACATGCTCAATGGGTGACATGTCCGGTGAGTATGCTGGCCATGCAAGAACTGGGACATTCTCAGCTGCCATCTGCCCTGAACAATGTGAACCATGATTCATCCGTGAAGCGCACACCTCTCCAACGTGCCAGACGCCATCGAATGTGAGCATTTGCCCACACAAGTCTGTTACGGCGACGAGCTGGAGTCAGGTCAAGACCCCGATGAGGACGACGGGCATGCAGTTGAGCGTCCCTGAGACGGTTTCTGACAGTTTGTGCAGAAATTGTTTGGTTGTGCAAACCAATTGTTCCAGCAGCTGTCTGGGTGGCTGGTCTCAGACGATCTTGGAGGTGAACCTGCTGGATGTGGAGGTCCTGGGCTGGTGTGGTTACACGAGGTCTGCGGTTGTGAGGCCGGTTGGATGTGCTGCCATATTCTCTGAAACGCCTGTGGAGACGGCTTATGGTTGAGAAATGAACATTCAATGCACGGGCGACAGATCTGGTTGACATTCCTGCTGTCAGCATGCCAATTGCACGCTCCCTCATTGCTTGTGGCATCTGTGGCATTTTGCTGTGAGACAAAACTGCACATTCCAGGGTGGCCTTTTGTTGTGGGCAGTCTGAGGTACACCTGTGCACTACTCATGATGTCAGATCAGCATCCTGATGTGGCACACCTGTGAGGTGGGATGGATTATCTCAATATAGCAGATGTGCCCACTACCACACATTTGGACTGATTTGTGACCACTGTTTGGGAGGGATGGTTATATTGTGTATCTGGAATGAATTTTAGGTCTCTACGTCCATCCCATGGGGAATGGGAGCAAAAACAAAAGTGTTGCGTTTATATTTTTGTTCAGTGTAATAATGTTCTTCATTATCCATGTTTTGTGTCCTGAGACACTTTTTTTATAGTTGAAATTAGCAAATAATAAATATTGGGACTTCTGTCTTCTGAAAGAGATTTGAATTCTGCTCATCTGGACGTAGAATTTTCTCTCTAAGTGATTCCTTCATGCTGACTGCAGGTTTCCTCAACCCTATAAAAAGTACATTTGCGCAATGACTGAAACTAGTGCTACTAACTAACAATGGCTCGTCAGATCAGTTTCATGATCGTTGATATGCAAATTCTCATGATCACTGATCAATGACCATGAGTTCCATTCACAGAGAGTTGGGGAATGGCTGCAATCACAGCATTTTAAAATGATGAAAGATATACTTATAGGCCCCCTCCTTGATTCAGAGTAGGTGTTTCCCTTTTCACGGAAACTGCCTCCTTGACTCCCCACTCAAACTAACATTTCTCCTTGTCCAGGATGTGTACAACTTCATCACTGAAAGACTGGCCACTGGACTCTAGTTGGAAACAGACTGCAAACTCGTGGCCTAATGAGACAGCTCTTCTGGACTGTGCCATCTGCTTAGCTAGAGGTTGTTTGATTTAACTGTCAATGTGATCGTCATTACAATCTGCATATCAATGTATCAATGATCATAAAACTGACCTGACGGCCCATTGTTAGTCAGTGTTTACTAGTTGCTAATTTGGGTCATTATGCAAATATACCATTTATAAGGTTGGGTTGGTCAAGGTTGTTCAGTTGAGACTGAATAAGACAGTTGAATGAATAATGACACGTTTTTCCCACTCACAATACATCCAGATGAACAGAGTCAGCTTTCTGGAATTTCTTTACCAGGATGACTGAGCATGCATCAAGGCATTTCAATTTTCCTTCTGTCTTTGTGACTTTTTAAGGAATTTAAGTGTTCACATGATCATGAAAGTGATTAAATATGTGTCAAACTGACGGATTTACACCTGTCAAAGACAGTAAAACTTTTTTGAGAAATGTTGCCATTCTGACAAATACCCATCCATAATTCATACTGAGGCATCACAGGCTTTTATGTCTCTCTGCTGAACAGGACTGCTATAAATAAGGAAAGCAGGAGGAAGGACAGATCAATGCAAAAACGCACCTTTGTCTCGATATAGAGTGTGATGAGGCCATCTGTGACGAGGTCATGGATGGACTCAAACCTTTTTTCCCCAACAAAGTGTTTCCCGTCATGGTAGAGACGGAAGTTTCTTGTTTGGTTCCCAAACCTGCAGATAAAAGAAATGAGCAAATTTTGTTATTCGGTATTATGAAAATCAAAATTTATGTTAAATCTTTTCCTTGAATTTTTTTTTCAATTAATGCATCCTCAGGGTCTGACTCAAACCTTGACAAATTTTGATAAGAGAGGGCCTATAAAATAGCAATAACCTTGTATCTGCCAGTCTTTGTAAGTCGAGGGTCAAAAACTGAGGTTATCTGCAAAACATGTCGTTACTCTCTCCAATTTAAAATCCTGTAGCTTTGCTTTCCGCTAACACGGAGCCAGAAAAGAGTGGCACAAACTCTAATCGACACACAGACTTTGAACTGGGCCACCACACGTGCGCTGTTATTTCTTCCTCAGCGGATCACAATGAGATTAAAGCAGCACTGTTAAATCATTAACCCAAAATCCAACCTTTCTTTTTTCTACCACTCAGACTGGGACTCAAGTTTATGAAAGGGTATTTATGGAAGGTAATTATAACCACAGGGGTAAGGAGGGACAGTAAATGACTGAGAACAGTTGCGCAGGTGGAAAAAAAAAATGACACAGCTATGAATAGACCGAACTGACCCAAAACTAAATTCAAATTAAGCCATGCACCCATTTAAAAGTGTGACACCTACTCTGAGAAAATGATAGCTCACAGTCAAGTAAAACCAACAGCGAAGTGTGGGCAGCCGGGTAAACTGACAGAAAACAAGAAACAAGCCTTACTGTTAACAGGCTTACTCTCACTCTTTCACAAGCCTTGCTGTGAGGAAACATGTGCACGTAAAGTTGAGCTCCTCTGAGCTGTTTAAAGGTTGACTGCAGAGATAAATCCTCACACCTTACAGCACCTGAACACAATTAGACAAGCTTTAAAAAGCAGCATGCACTGTCACACAAATGTGTGCTTGTACAGACAGAAAGGTGTAGCCTTGGTAGTTAATATCATATTCTGTGTCTGTATTTCTTCTCACTCTGGCACTGGATACTGTATCAATATAGTTTACACTATGCTTTGAGATTGGAATAGGGCCGATAAGGGGGAAAGGCCTTGAAAACACTGTCACAACATATATCAAAATGTAAATATTTGATCATAATACTCTAGTTCTATCATGGATATTTGATAGCTATAAATATTGTGTATGGCTACCCAAGAACTGCAGATGGCTAATAGCTAGTAGCTAAACTTTATATAAACACAGAGCTAAGGCAGTCAAATGATGGAAGTTTTGAGGTTACAGCTTTTCCTTTCAGTAAATTAGATCATGTAGAGATTCTGGTTGGTACTAGAGCTATGATTTATGTATCGCAGTGCAATTGTGTCCCTTTGCATATTTGCGTACAGAGAGGGTTTTTTTTCAACCAACAGAACTGTGCTCACATGCAGTCCATAAAATTAAATCATAAACCATAAAATATCTCCTTTATGGTTCAATTTATACTCCATCCATCCATTCTCTTCTATTATCCAATCCTCTCAACAGGAAATTTGAGTATTAAAAAAAAATAACACGATGGAACAGTCGACCGACATAAAGTATTCTGCACATTGTGCAAGAATGAATTTTCTTTTCACCGAAGCACTTCCAGCTTAAAATATCACATTGACACGAAGCATACGTTAGTCGGGGATGCTGCTAGGACCTTGGCTAACGCGTCACCCAGCTTGCGACAAACCACTCACGGAGCATCGGGGACTCAGTAAGTCTACCTCGGAAATATTGACTGACACAATTGCCAAGTGGATTGCAAGAAACTGCAGACCTATTAATATCGTTGAGAACAAGCGCTTTACATAGCTTTGGTTCCTCGTTTCAAGGACTTCAAGTGCCTCTCCAAGAGTGACAGAGAGAGTGGATAAATGTTTACAGAGTTTTTTGTTAACATGAATGTTTAAGATGTTCAATAAACATGTTAAGTGCATATATTTTCCCATTTTTCTGGGGTCTGTTTTTATCATGCAAAATGAAATGTGATTAATATTGAATAAAAATGAATGATATTTAATCATAATTAATCAAAATGAATCCACAGTAACCCTGTGGTGAATTAGATTAAACATTTTACTTGTTTGACAGCACTAATATATATTATATATTAGTGCAGTGGTTCCCAAACTGTTTTTGCTAGGCCCCCCCTTTGCTTTACAAGAAAAATGTTTTTCATGTCGCGCTGTGCGCCACGTTATTGTTTACATGAGATGAATTGCAGAATGGCAGATAGAAACAAAATACTGTTACTGTCAATCTGATTATCTTCAGGTTTTACACGCTTACATATACACACGCAGTTACTGTCCCTCCATTTAGAAAGGCAGAGGTGTCACGGTGTGATTATTTTACCTGTAGTTTTTTTTTTTTTTTTACTGTGTAATAATATTCAACATTGCTATCAGTACATTTTTCAAAAAATGCCTTTCTGTGCAAAATGGGTTTAAACACATAAACAGCTGTAAGATACTGTTTGTCTGTGATTTGAACCGGGGGGACAAATCATGGCAGGATCAGCCGGATATTATTTGTATCCCACTGTAACTTTACTGTATAAAGAGCTAACATCTCCAAAATGTCAGGAGTAGTTAGTCATTACAACAAGTGTTGGTGAACTAAAAATCAAGAATGTGGGATACTGTTTGTCCCTGATTTGAAGGTTTTCCCTTCATGCTCCCATTCTATCCAGTATTTAAGTCTGATGTCATTAGCTATGTCTGGGCCCAAACTACACTACATCGCTACCGACACACCTATGTTAGCATAATATAAACAGTGAAGCTGGAGGACAAACGCTAACTTTTTTCCACTCAATAGAAGTTAATGTGAGGGTTCCCGATGGTTAGGGACAAATGCAATTGAATGGCAGGATGTTGTAAAAGGACCAAACTTCAGTCAGGAGAACAAGTGAGAAAATCCATCCATAATACAAGTTTAGTCATTAATATACTGCTGCATTGCCTGGGCTGTAGTTACATCATAAGGTTTTAAAAACTGAGCTTTAAAATTAGCGGTAATAAAAACCGAAAGAGGCTGACAGTGATCACTGACTGTTTTAGGTGCTTGTAGATTAAATAAAACAAGATGCAAAGCATTAAAGCATGTTAAAAACACAACAGCCTTATTAAACGCAGAGTAGTTTGGGCCCGGTAGCAGGATCCATCCCGTCATCACTTAAAGACAATGCTCTTACTCCAGAATGCTCTTCTCGGTTTTTTTGAAAAATCTAGTGTTGCCAATAAGCTCATGTTTGTTCTGTCTCCCCAGACTAGCATACCTTAGAGCCAGTGTGTAAGTGCCTGGCTGCCTCTGACTCTCTCTGATGAGGTAGCTGCCCTCTGCCTGACTCAGTAACTGGTCAGCCTCTTCTCTTGAGATCATCCCATGGAACCTGGATGCAAAAATAGCAAAATGTAAGCTTATTTGATAAACTGAAGAATCTAATGAAGAAAAATCCACATACCAATTGAAAATAATCCTCATTGTTTATAATGTAATGACACAAAGTGCTTAACACAATCTACTACTACAGAGAAAGCCAACTTACTCTCTGCCATAGTATTTAGGTCGGTTTTCCACCTGTAGGAGAGAGAAATGGTGATTGTTAAATAAACAAAAAATTAAAATAATCTCACAATACAGTGTGTAAAATGCTTTAACACTACACAAGTTGTGTGCTCTTGCTCAAAGAGCATGTAACATTTTCAGCATCTGAATGTAAGCCTCACTTAACACTCAGCGTGTGTGTGTGTATGAGTGAGAGTTTGTGAGTGTGTGGGCATCAAGAAAAATGCATGAGTCAGATAAAAAGCAGAGCATTGTGTTATTCTCAGCAAAACGGCTGTTGAGCCAATAAATCAGCAAGGGCCTAACAAACAATGGTAAATAATAAGTTAAATGCTCTATGTCTGTGTGTGTGTGTGTGTGTGTG